GAATTTAATTACTGTAATTTGAAAAGCCCATCTCAAAAAAAGCTTAGATGCTCTTCATGGAGTGCTTATATAAACATGATCTGAAAAGTCCTGAATTGTGTGCTAAATAACCATAAAATCAGCTAAATATCAGAAAAAGTTAAGTAGGGGATAGAATGCAGGATGTGAGAGAAAAGAAAAGAAAAAGAAAGAAAAAAAAGAAAGAAAGAAAGTTGAAAGCAACAAATTAAATAAAAACTAAAAAACAACCCATCCCCCCTTGTTCTAGTATCTGGATTAAAAGAGAAATTCTGAGCTTGATTGCTGATTGAACTATCATTAGATGTGAAATGCAACCTAAATCATATTAGGTTACCTTGGGGTTGTGTTTTTTTTCTCTCACCACAAACATGGATCCTTCATTCATGTGGATATTTGGGCAGACTACTGAGGCTGTAAAATCTAGACACCACTTTGCAATATTATAATTACGTTTTTAAACACACTTCTTTCCTTACTTCTCCCTTTCCCCAATAAACAGATCTTGAATATTTTAAACTAGTTGCTGCAACGACATCCAGTCGTTAGTTAGCACATGATCAAATCTGTAAAAGGTTTTAAGAATACAAAGAAACTTAGTTTGTTAAAATGAGGCATCCTCTATTGTTTTATGTAATGTACCCTGACTGCTCCTGAGTAAGAACGGAGCTCGTCCTCCATGAGATAAGGCTATATCCTCACTTGTTGGTGAGACCAAATTCTACCCTTAGAAAATACCAAATAAAATTACAGCAAAGGTAGTGTTACAAAGTAATTAACCAAAGCATTTCTGAAGGTAGTGTGTGCACATTTTCCACCTCCTTTCCCTCTGGGTGAGCACTAAACAGATTGCTGATTTGTTAAGTAAATTTAATAGTGAGAAGAAAATCATAAAATGTAAATTGACCTAAATAATTACGTATCACTGAATAACCAAATTTCTTAAATTCAAAGGTTCATTGTTCCTAGGATTTTTTTTAGTTTAATCCTTCAATTAGTTGAAATGTAGAAGAGAAACACGAATGATTTTATAAGATGGCTTTCCAATTTGTAATGATAAAGCTCCCAGTATGACAGAGGTGGTTTCTACAAGGGGGCTTTTTTCTTTTCTTTTCTTTTCTTTTTTAAATAAAGGCAAATATAACTTAAGAAAAAAAAAGAAAGAAAAGCATGCAGGCTCTACAGGCAAGGAGTCCACTTCCATGTATCTGTTCTCTGTGAGGTAACTCAATTCTCTTTTGTAGAGAAACATGCAAAAAGGCCAAACAATATCCCGAGCCATACTGCACATGAAAATTTTAAAATATGCAACATTCAGAATGCACCTTTCACCTCTGTACACACAAGTCAATGCGAAATCTGCAAAGAAACAAGTGTCACAGTAAATGGAGTCAGGTGTAAGCAATGATAGCTGAACAATGCAGTAGTGCTCACCCAGTTTGTACAGTAATTGGCACTCTACAGTATTCCTACTCATTTTTTGATTCATTTGCACTTTGTGCTGCCTCTCCCTGGGGATCTAATTCAATCTTTACAGAAACATCTGGCCCCTCCGACCTCATTAATTTCATCTTTTTCTTTGGAGGGTTTTTCAAAGTGCCCAGCCTCTCCTTTACTTTGTACTCCAGTGTACTGTGGGGAATCCCATAAATACTCTGAGCTTTGGAAACACTCATTTTTCCACTCATAACCACTGAGATTGCTTCCTCCAGTATCTCACTGTTGTACTGTCTGTAACGCCCTCTTTTCTTCCGAGGCTGCTTGGAACCAGGGTCTCCTTCTTGATCCGATGTGGGATATGGCTGTCCAGAGGTAGACTGCTCAGCATCTGAGCCCCAAGAATCGGGTCCAGCATCTAACATGCTTTTTCTATTTTGTTTTGGAAGAATAGCCCTTAACTTTTTACTAAGCGCGCTCTCCGTTTGTGAACCCATTACCAAAGAGCTATAGCTGTACTGATCACCAGTGCGAGACTCCCAAGAAAGATCCATTCCTCGAACTTGTGGTATCTTTAAATCTACAGGAGATGCATGGCTCGCATCCTTTTTTCCATCTTGTTTTGCTTGAAGTGCCATTTTTGGAAAGGCAGAGTTTTCTGCAAGAAAAGGAAGGTCACTGATGTTGCTGAGTGCACCATTTCCCCTGAACTTCATACGGCTGAGGTTGAACTCATAATGTGGTTTTGCCCAAGAGGCTTCCCTGGATAATATTAAGTGTTGTCCATGATTCTGTAATCCAGATGGCCCAAGGCTGGCAGCTGTGGACAATTGGTTTCTGCTCAGTAGTTCTTCACTAATCTGCAGGGATCGAGCCAATGGAACTTTGAGTGATGTGGAGTGTCCAAAACCTTCCCTGGTTCCATCCTGTAAGCTTCTTGGAGGTACCCCATCACCACTCCGAAGTCCGTCTGGGCGGTACTGGCTGGGTCTCCCAGGTCGCCTAATTGGATGGAAGGAAACTGATGTGAGCAGGACTTGCACAGGTAGGGAGGGATGGGTGAGGGGACCACTCCTTTATTAGAAGGCCTTGCTTGGGTAACATCACTTTGTGTTATTTATTTATTTTTCTCTAAAATTAAAAAAAAAAAGTGGTCTCGGCAGTTAGTTTTAGAACTTGTTCACAAAAAAAGAAAAAGGAAAAAAGAAAAAAAAAAACCAGGAGCTTTTTGGGCAAAGAAAAATTAAACCTGTCAGCTGGTCTCTGGTTGGGTTCACAAATTTTCGGAGAAAAAGTTTCGCGCAACTGTCTGAAAATAGCACCTTAATTATTAATTACAAAGTAATCATCAAGTCTCCATAGATCTACACAGAATTGTGTTACCAATGTGACGTTACCACTAAACAAGTACAGTAATAAAAGAGTAAGCCAAATTATTTATTTTAATGTAACATATTCAACATTCATGACAACCAGCTATAAAACTAGAACCATTTACAGTGGTGGAACCCATAGATAATTACTCATTTATCCCACAAACAAGTTGATGCTCATTATCAAAACCAAACAAGTTCAAATAACATTTCTTATTTTGCTTGGGGAAAAAAAAATATGGCTACCAGCCCCAAGGGGAAAACCCAAACCAAAATACCCATCACATTATAACTTACCACACTTCTTCATTTTAAAACACTATTAGTTGCAGACACATGAGTACCACTAATTTTCCACTTGAAATAATCCAATCTTTAAAGAAACTGCCCTTTGTTTTCCCCAAACTTTGTTCCTTAAGTTCTACTCAAAGTTATTACTGTCAGAGGTATGTAAGCAATTTGTAGTAGCAGTTTTCTTTAGTTAAAAGTGCCTCTTCTTAAAATATCAAATATAAATTTTGAAATTTTAAGTGGATAGCTCTCAAATAATATTTAAAAAGTCAACTATTTACACAAAGTTAATTCATAAGGTTTCCATTTTCACAATAGATAAATATTATCAATGATAAAACTGGTAACTGGTAAAGCATGCCCAAGGGTAATAATTACATTTACTAGGCACAAACGTGGAACTTTGAAGAAATAATGATAAACCAGCTATGTTCTCCAAAAGTCTACAGGGATTCTGTGCTGTTATCAGTAAATAACATAATAAAGATAGTAATTAATATTCAACTAAAAGATGGGCAGTCATATCGGTGCTTTTGTCTTCCAGAAAATCATACACATAAAAAACTTTCCATTCAGAGGGGTCAACCACAGCAACTTCAACCATATTATACATGGACTTGGTGGCCAAGTTTAAACTAAATCTTAAGCAAGGGATTCATTTATGCAAACCACACTTAGGCTTCTCCTACATGTGTTCTTAATTACACACTTCAAGTTTTCTGATATATAAATGGAATCCAATGATTTGGGACCACAATGACTTGTATCTAATATAAACTATAGTGAAAAGAAGGGCTTAAGAAAAAAAGATTAGTAAACTATGCAAACTGCATTAAATCAATAAGTTACTTTTAGACTGAATAAAGGAGGAGAGAAAAAGGAAAATGATGGAATTTTAGAGAAAATAAAGGCAGCATTTTAGAAGTCAGCAAAGGAATTCTTCAATTTGAAGGTAATTAAGAGAAAGTTGAAAACGGTTAGTCCATTTAGTGTGTACTTATTCCTTTAACATCTAAAGAACTTCCCTATGTTGGTATTCTAAAAGTTAAATGAACCTACATATTAACTAATTTAACTTACCAAAGTTACTTTTCATGTATGAAGTTGATTTTTTGGTTACAACACAATTTTACGGAAATCCTTCCCAATATGGTATTTAAATGTCTTCATTAATACCTGACTTTTCTAAGTGGCTTATTTATACATGTAGAGGAGAATTAAGACAATTCTTACACTATAAAATTAGGTGGTCAGAAAATTCACTTTACTTTGCTAAGAGTTATCAAAACTGAGCATGTAATAATGTCTTGGTAGCATAAGATGATTATCCCAACATCTATAGTCTTAACCACTTAAAAAACAAAAAATACATACAATTACATTTTCTGAACTGCCACACAGAGTTAAAACTGCAGTTCAATCAACAAATGAAACCAAACCAAACCAAAACAAACAAGAAAAAAATGAACAGCCTCCACATACCCACACACTCCATTAGCGATACCAAGTTAAGTACTGGAACCCAATTTTCATTCAACAACTTCAGCACACATAATACTGCCTTACATCTGAACCCTGGAATTATTCAGGTTAGGTTTCCCCCTCTCAAACACTCAACAACAAAAAGGCCAAAGACATTCTTGCCATATTTTTATTCACTCACTATCTGTAGTGACCTGGCAAAACTGATCTACACTAGTCAATTCTGGACTTCACAGATTGTGTTTTTACTTGAGAGATGGACTAAGTAACTTACTAAAGGCCCACTTACAAGACTGTTCCTCTGAAGATTTTTTTAAAAACATATAATGGAGATTTGCATCAATCTTTGATAAATTGTCTCCTATAAAACTGTGGAAGGCTACAAATATTTTCCCTTACCCGTTCCCCTGAGTACTGGAGCAGCCTGGAGAATGGCTCAGGGACGTGCTGCCAGCACACGGACTTTTCTTAGTGGACAGATCAAGTACACCGTCTGTAGAGACACAAACAAACACCTGAGGATATTAAAAACTAGGAACAAATGTGGACTGAACAGACCAAAAGTGACAAAGCAATAGGCCTAGTCAACCATGCAGATACACTAGCCATATATGTGAGTTAAGTCAATTCGTTAATAGAATCAGGATTATTTTCCCTCCTAAAGTGACATACATTTAGCAAAGCTTGTTATATCTAGTATCTCCAAGGGTTAAATATTTTATCAGTAGGGCAAAAGAAAAGGTACAGCATATCACTGAAGATGTTAGGATATAGCGAGATATGAGAAATCGCAGTTTACACAGTATGAAGTTCTGTAATAGAACTATTAGACTACATTTTCTAAATTTACCTTTATCAAAGCACGTGAGTTTTTAATGCCACATCATATAAATTATAAAACCAAATTCCTCAAGAGCTAAGTCTACCTGAAACACTATAAGTACATAAAAGTTGGATTTAGAAAATTTTATATAACACAAATCATTTTAAAATGTAAGTTTATATGGTTAAATTACAATATGTATATACAAAATATTCTGTAAAATGAATCAGATGTTAACTGTTTATAATTTTCATGTGTCCTAATTACTCTTCAGACACATCTGCAAAAAAATGTGTATTTGGATTCAATCTTTTGGAAAAAATCTGCAGAGATTCAAAATTCCCTTCTTGGTATCTATAAAGGCAAAGTTTTTAAATTAATAAGATATTACAAACTAGTGAGCAAAGTTTAGGGAAAGAAAGAAGAATGAAATAGTCTTGATACTGATGACAGCCTAGATGTTTAGCCTTTTTTTTTTTTTTCTGTTAAAACATAGAATTAGAAGACCTTGTTTTCCCACAAAGACTTTGTTCCCTCATAGACATGTCTAAAAAGGAAAACTCGTCTGGACAACTTTTAAAGCTGCCATTCTGTCCAAAATTAACAAAACAAGCTAATACTCCATGTTTCTGATTTTCAGTTGGTCAGCAGAGAGGACTTTCTATCTAGTTATGTTAAAAACTGCCCCAATATAGAACTAACATACGACTAGTGTCTGAAGACACTATCACTCCTGATTTCATGCTGTTAGAAATAAATATGTGACTGAGTTTGTAAACCAAAAATCCCACACTCATACAGAGTAAGTGTTGTCCTTTAGGGTCACTAATATTTCTAAAAATATAACTGTAATCTTATAGAACAAAGTGTCCTATTAGACATCTTAACCCAATTAGACATCTAATAAGCAAATACACTGCTTAAAATATTTCCAAAGACACTATTATTTAAAGACTTCCAAATCTGTCTAATCAAACAGGCAATATATTTTAAGTCTACTTAAATATACTAAATATACTGTGATTTCATTGCAAACACATGAGAAGTAATTTGGGAAATATTTTAAAAATTTTGTTTCACTTAAAGACTATACACTCTAATCCCGTCATCTAGCTTAAATTCCTGTTGACAAGAGCATACCGTCAGTACAACATATCTCTTAAGCATAGCACCAACTAGGAGTTAAATTAGACTAAGTAGCACCTTTATACGTTAATCTCCACTATTAATACTTTAAATACAACCTCTATGCTGTCGTTCTCCTGAAGTTTTTAATGCAATATTTTGAGCAAGGAGTTTTTTAATGAAAGCTACCAATCTTTGGTAAAGATAAACCTCAACAAAAAGAAAAAGCACAGAAAAGCACAATTTTGCTTTTGGTAACCAAAAGTAAAAGTACACTGATCGATGTGAACATATGACAGTAAGGGGTTCTACTAGGAAATCTCAGAATTCTGAGATTGTGATTGCTATTCATTACCCAGAAACAGGAAAAAAGCAAGAACTACTATTCAAAAATACATTTTTTAATAAACTAAAGCCAGTCCATTAAGTATAAATCCCTCTTAAATCACTTAAAATAAGCAAAAGAAAGTCCTTTCAAAGAGGTTCTTCATACAAATTAAACTTTTTGCAAAATGAACCTGTATTTCTCACCAATAAATCTACACATCTCCTAACTTTCTGTATACTCTTATAAGATTTCTATGACAAGGAATCTCATTAGAATAGACATCACCAATTTACAATCTGTAATGGGTCAAGCAATGGCAGAATTGAAATGCTCACTGCATCTTTGTGAAATTAAAGGTAAAATGAGATCACAAAGCAACAAAAATATTTAATCTATTTAAGACAGTAAACTTTTCATAAATTCAAGAAATATGTGCTAAGCAAAACTGATAACCTCTTAAACCAAATTTTCCCTTAATTAGGATCCTCATCCAAAAATTAAAATTACCTTTTGGAAATATTCTAAGATTAGTTCATATTATAGCATATACACATGGATGTGTTTGTGTATTTATAAAATATTGAATACACTGAACCACCTGGTGTGTCTAATGTCTTCCTCATTATATCTAACCCCAGGAGTTTCTTTTTTAAAAATACAAACAATATACATTCTTGCCTTATAATTTCATTTGCAGCGTATAACTTCTACCTAATAAGACATATTTATTTCTCAGATAGGTGCTAATTCTAGAACACTGGTGGATAGGGGGAAAACTTAATTTTTCATAGGGGTTTTAAAAACAATGGCTATGGCAAAGTTTTGGAAAGTATAAAATATTTACATAAATATCAAGTAAATTAAAGATCAGTAACAACTGTATCCAGCTAACTTTCCTGGGTGGTACATTAATCGTGACTATGAACTATTGATACGTAAGGTAGCCATTTTATCTGTATTTCTTCTCTATCACTGCAGAGTCAGGAATAATTTAAGAATCACATTAGTTTTTATCCTATTATTGTTACTGATGTCCTACTTGCCAATAATTTCTTTTCTCCCCAAATTAAAGTATTCTGATTGGACAGAGGAGACCTTGACATCAAACCATACCTTGTTCGCTAGGTTCTGACTGAGACTTTCTGACAGTAAGGTCCAGAGGTGAGTCTTGGTCAGCCATGAGAAGTTTGCTGAGCACAGGGTTCTGAGTAGTTGCAGCCGTGGGAGAGGTGGTGACTGGAGATGCTTTCGGCAGGCTTTGGTTCTTTGTGCTATTGGGCTGGCTGGGGTCCTGAGTAGAGCTATTTTTTGAGGTATATTCAGCAGCAAATTGTTGGATCATTCGCTGCATGATCTCACGGGCCACTAGGGGAATACTGGGGTCGGAGACCCAGGGACTGTCTGTAAACAAAGATTTATTTACTTTTAAATTGGGACAATGTACTAAAAAAAAAAAAAAAAGACAGCTTTCAAGCAAACATAAAATTTCATTTTATCTTTTTTCTTATAATGCAGTATCTTAAAAGTAGTATTCCCTCTCAGTATTTTTAATCTCTAAAAACTTGAAGTTCCAGATTTTTAAAAATAAAATTTTCATAAAATCATTTCTAAACACCATCCCCTCAATATTATGAAATTAAATAAAGGGATAACAAATAGTATATCTTATGGGTAAGAATCACTTACCTGATACAGAAATCTCAAACCCTTCTTTTATGAAATAATTACCCCCCTGTTTACCACCTAGTGATCATTTCTGGTTTCTCCTAGACCTTTCCTCCTCAGCTACCTCTTCCTAAATTACTGAAGAATGGATTACTTAGTTCATGAGTGCTTAATTTACTTTCTGTTAAAGACTGAAGGCATATCAAAATTATAAAAGGAGATATTTAATATAAGATCCATGATAGACTGGGGCAATAACCTCCCATTTTCAGGCTCATCAGAATCACTTTGAGTGCTTATAAAAACAGATTGCTGGGTCCTATCCCCAGAGTCACTCATTCAGCAATTCTAGGGTGAGCTCAAGGACTGGCATTTCTACTAAGTTTTTAGATGAAGCTGGTCGAGGGACCCCAATTTTAGAACCCTTAGGCCAGGAGTTTAAATGCCAAATCTCAAAAGCTTAAGCCCACATATTTTCCATGAGTTCTTTAAATACACTCTACCAATCATTAAACATAATAGCTACGGAAGTAATGAAATAAACACCTAAGTTATCAATTTCTAATCAATTTCTAATCAATTCAATTTTTAATTTTAAAACATATAAATTCATTAACTCAAAGAACTTTTAGCATTGGAAGGGACCTTGAGGGTCAAATGGGGGAAAATAAAAGGGAAATGTTCCGTATAAATATGTCATCACACCTCCACCGTTACCACACTCTCAGGGAGGCTAAGCTTCTCAAGAGCAGAGATTATGTTTGTTTACCTCTGTATACTCAGCACCTAATCTTGCCTGGCATAAAGGATGCATTCATATTAGTTGAGTAATAAATGGATCAGTTAAATCAATCGATACTCATCAAATTTTGTTTTTCCTTAGACAAATGAGATTAATGTGTCTAAAGAATAAGTGGCCTCTTCAAATTTGTATAGATGGTTAGTGGTAGAACCCTGATTAAAACTCTCCCCGTGGAGCACCTGGGTGGCTCAGTTGTTAAGCATCTGCCTTCGGCTCAGGTCATGATCCCGGGGTGCTGGGGTCGAGCCCCACATCGGGCTCCCTGCTCTGCGGGAAGCCTGCTTCTCCCTCTCCCACTCCCCCTGCTTGTGTTCCCTCTCTCACTGTGTCTCTGTCAAATAAATAAATAAAATCTTTAAAAAATAAAATAAAAATAAATAAATAAATAAAACTCTCCCTGTGCTCTTAATATTCCTTCCACTTGTGACCTTTACTTCACCACACTTCGGAGATTTTAGAAGACAGTTCTCAGAAAACCTGAGTTTCCTTGGTCTTTTAAAGATTTAGCTATAGAAGGTAAATTACCCATAATACAGCTGGAGCTGGAAGGGAATTAGGTTGATTTATAAATTTAGATTATTACTATTAAAATCTAAAATCTCCACAGTAAACACACATACACATATCATCAAAACCTCATGGGACTCCTAAGAACAATTTTGTTTTTCCTGAAAGATAACATTCAATACCAGAAGATAATCTAAAGCCAGAATATTTTAATTCTCTGAAGTCTAATAAGATTTGCTTTAACAGTAACATTTCTGTTCTACTAACAAGTATTTCTAACCTGACATTTCTTCTCTATAGAGTATGCTAGATGGTTTAAGAATTAAGGTGTTCAATTAGGTAAGGTTCAGAAATTATTGCAACCACTGACAAGTTCCTTAAATGTTAATAAACATTTTAGCCACACACTGCTTTTTTGAAATCTCTCTATCCACTGATTATTCTTATTAATATTCATTTAGCTTTCCACTTAAGATCCATCCTCCAAATGAAAGACTGCTTATAATTTCAAGTTTTAATATATTAGTGTATCTTCTTATCCCCAGCAACTCATAAAGAAGAACGTTTCCAAATAGGAAGCAAAATGAATTTATGAGATGTCTGTGTTTAATTAGATTCATAAATATAATTAAAGAGATTTGTGAAGAGTCAGAGATTTTAGGATAAAGACCATAAATTGCTACCTCTGAGCTTTAAATGCCTGCAGTCTGTCTTGCCTCTTTTTTGAATGAAGAACATAATCATAAAACACAATTCACATTCACAAATTGATGACATCTCTACCATTTGAATTTCTACATCCTTTGAAGTTTCCTGAACACATTTCATTCTTTCACTTACTTAAAACACAACTTCTATAAACCTAGATATGCCTTGGGGAACATGCACAATGGAGTCAAGTAAAAACAACTAATCAAATCAAAATTAAAACTACAGGAAAACAAGTAAATGCTACATCACCAGCCACCTGTGTGTTTTTAAAAATGCAAATCTGGGGCGTCTGGGTGGTTCAGTCAGTTGAGCATCCATTTCAGCCAGATTGTGATCTCAGGGTCATGAGACTGAGCCCCAAGTCGGGTCCACGCTCAGCATGGAGTCTGCTTGGGATTCTCTCCTTCTCCCTCTCCCTCCGCCTTTCCCCTCCACTCTTGTGCCTGTGTGCACGCATGCTCTCTCTCTCAAAATCTTAAATTTAAAAATAAATAATTTTTTTAAAAAAATCCAACTTTCAGGAAAGTATCAAATTTTCTAACAGAAGTGACAAAGCAAGCTGAAAGAATATGATAATGACAGTTGTAGAAGGTACACTGTTCGTAAGCTGCAATTTATTATAGAGTCCATATCACAAAAGCTTACTTTAATTGCATCTATGTCCCTACCTAGCTTATAGTACCTTTCATAATTATTTAAAACATAAAATTTTCGGGGTGCCCAGGTGGCTCAGTCAAGCATCTGACTCTTGATTTCAGCTTAAGTCATGATCTCACTGATCTTAAGCTGGGCATGAAGGCTGTTTAAGATTCTTTCTCTCCCGCTGCCCCGTCCCCCAAACAAAAAACATTCATTTGCAATACTCAGTAACAAGTAAATCCAAATCTCTGAGCTATTTATTAAAAAAAAAAAAAAATCCCCTTCAGACTAAATTGCCTGTCATATCTGTTCATGTTACACATTTTTGGTATAACCTGAACAGTACTAATGGTCATCGTTAAGACATTTTCGTGAAGATTAATACAATATCTAAAAATAACAATATTAATGCATAAAGCAAGGAGGAAGGAACTTCAATAACAAAGCAACAGTTCTTTTTTCTGAGCATCATATGCCAGTATACAAATACACAAATTTAACTTTACATACAATTTCAGAGTATTCTCATCTCTTGAAGTCTACCCTAACACTGATTTGGAGGTAAAAATTCCCTCATGTGCCCAAAAGTTTGTTTAAATAAGAAAACTTTTAAGAACTTTAAGTTATTCCTACATGATAAGGGGACAGGACTAGCAGACAAAGCGGCTAGAATTCTCTTTAGGAATATGCTTATGATTGACCTTATTAACTCCCTGTAACCAAAGAGTAGATGAAAAGTTCTTTCTCCATGTATATTAGGGAGAGACCCATGACTCAGTACACATTCTAAAGTAGAGAACAGCAGAGGAGCTGTAAAGATGTTTTATTTTGTTAATAAACTGACAGAACTGGGCACCTGGGTGGCTCAGTCGTTGGGTGTCTGCCTTTGGCTTGAGTCATGATCTTGGGGTCCTGGGATTGAGCCCTGCATCGGGCTCCCTGCTCGGCGGGAGGCCTGCTTCTCCCTCTCCCACTCCCCCAGCTTGTGTTCCCTCTCTTGCTGTCTCTCTGTCAAATAAATAAAAATTTAAAAAAACAAAAAACTGACAGAACTGATCTGTCATTTACACTTTAAATGTGAATTACTTTAATAAAATAATCAATGTTTGTAAAACTAAGTCAATTACTATTTTGAACATAATTTTAGAATTCAGGATACTCTAAGGGGAAGATAAAGTGGGCATGGGAGCCTCAGTTGGGAGCTTTAGGTCAGAGGGTGCTAGAGAGATGAAAAGAGAAGTGAGGATGTACTAAAAGATTTAATTTTGCATAGGGATCTGATGGAAGGAAAAAAAGTGCCTCTGAAAACAACAATCTTCTTCGCTCCTTAATTTTATTTGACCCCTAACTTCATACTCCATTTTGAAAATACTGACCACATTAAGCAGAACATCAGTTGGTCTCCAACTGTAAACCAATTAGAATAGCACTTATCAGACTTTCAACCAGTGTATAGGTAAAAATCACCCTTCTAACTTTGGAGGGAAGTAGGAAATTCCCAGGAGCACGAGAGGTGTAAACTAGAACATATAAAAAAAATATTAAAGAAAGCAGAATCACTGAGTCTGCTGAAGATTAAATAAGGAATATTCAGGATTATGAGGAGTTTGTAGGAAACTTTTTTAGAACTTCTCACAGTAATTTCCATCTTGGAACTAAAGGAAAGACATAACTAAGGAATACAAATCCATTTAGAAAGAATTTCTTGAAGGTAAAGATTTCACTAGAATGGATCACGGAGGGAAGCATCCTGAAGGTCTTGACTGATGGCAATTATGCTTTGTGAACAGAGAAAAGAAATGTGAAACATGTCTACAAAAGTTTCAAGAAGAAAGAAAAACTGAAATATCTAAGAGGCAGAGCTATTAAATACCACCTCCAACATATGGGGTATAAGTTTTACTATATAATAATGAATTTCTTTCTCCAATTTTAATAATCCAATGAAATTTGAGTGAAGACTATATCAAGGAAGAAATGCTTGCAAATCTAATTTTAAGATATAACTTAACCTCTTCTTTACAAATGAATTCTAGTGAGGAATTACTGAAATTTTATTTTAAAAGTTGGGTTTTATGGTTATCTGTGATTAAAACTGTAACTATGTAAGAATATTTGTCTGAGGGGCGCCTGGGTGGCTCAGTTGGTTAAGCGACTGCCTTCTGCTCAGGTCATGATCCTGGAGTCCCAGGATCGAGTCCCGCATCGGGCTCCCTGCTCAGCAGGGAGTCTGCTTCTTTCTCTGACCCTCCTCCCTCTCATGCTCTCTGTCTCTCATGCTCTCTGTCTCAAATAAATAAATAAAATCTTTAAAAAAAAAAAAAAAAGAATATTTGTCTGAGAAAACACTGTACTGCTGAAACCTTAGAATTTTCAGACATTCATAATACTTTCAGGAACTATTTAATGAATAAAATCTTACAAGACACCATCACTTCAGAATGAAAAGGAGGGAGAGGGGTTGCCTTACCCTATTCCAAATTTAACTTGACCAAAGGAATATAAAGTATTATCAATAAAGATAAATATTTTTTAAAGTGACTTTTAAAAAATGACATTAAAATTAAGGAAATTAATATAAGACAAGCAGATGCTAAACGCCATTCTTCGCTAGAACCAACCTTTTCTATAAAAGACTGCATTGAGGAACTCTTCTGCTTGTCTCTCGAATCGAATGATTTTTGCTTGCTCTTGTTTAAGCAGAGCTTCTTGCCCAGCTCCCGAAGCTGGTTCATCCAGACCGACTAAGTGTCCCTGTAAAAATATTTGGTGAAATATTTGCACAAAGATCTTTCCCCATTCAGTATCAAAAGCACAGATGCAAAATCAAAGACAAATGTTAGTAAGAGATAAGACAAATCAGTTTAATACAATTAAAATATTTTAAAACTTCAAATCAGAATAAAAGTTATCTCCACAAAAAGCAAAGTGAATGTAAAAATACACTTCGGGTGGTTTTTATTTATCTTATGAATTATGTTTAAAATTTATAGATAAACTCTAGTTAAGCTAATACTACTAAAGGAAAATTTTTCTTGAGCATTCAAATATAATGGTTCTTATTACACTATACAGCAACAGTTCACACACAATTCAACTCAGACAAAAAGATACCTTAAACCCTAAATATTATTTGAGAATCATGTTTGCTCTCCAAATTCAAAATGTTTTTTCCAGACACAAAACAAACATTTTTAAAAGGGCCATAAGAAGGGAAAACTCAGGATGTGAGGGCGATCTGGCTGCGACATCTGTCACCCCATTGATCGCCAGGGTTGATTCGGCTGATTTGGCAGGCTAGGCGGGTGTCCCCTTCCTCCCTCACTGCTCCATGTGCGTCCCTCCTGAAGCTGCGCACTCGGTTGAAGAGGATGACCTTCCCCGATAGAGGGGGACCGTTCTTCGGTCAAGGGTATACGAGTAGCTGCGCTCCCCTGCTAGAACCTCCAAACAAGCTCTCAAGAAGGGAAAACTCAAAGAGAAAGTTATCTAAATTTATAATTCTGTCCCTAGAATACTATTTCATAAACTATAGCTTTCAAATGTTTAGAGTTGTGAAATTAATAGGTTAAAACTGGCTCTGGAAAAAAGACTTTAAAAATAGAGTGCATCGCGTGTTCTAAAGGTAAACATTTCTATTTATGCTTAAAAATGTTTACAATATAAAAATTTAAGTCCTGTTCAGAAAGTTTCAAAATGCTGAACTGACTCGTCCCAAACATTCCCAGAATCTGTTCTCAGACTGCAGGAGCACTAGACTAGGTTGTTAATGCTTTGTACTTATTTCCACTCTTGTAGCTAATAAACAGGAAACTATGATAATAGAAAATAAAAGTGTAAAGAAAAGCAAAGTACATGTTTAACGTGTTAAGTTCCAGCGCATATAATTTACTTCAAATCACTGCAATGTATCGCCATATGCATTTACTTATGTCGTGGAAAACTTAAAAGTCCATTTCTGAATAAGAAAATGAGGACATGCCTTGACACAATGAAAAGGAAGTAATAAACAAGACACTGAAAGAATGTTACAATCCACAAACAATTTTCTTAAAGATTTCAAATACACCCAATGACATTTGCAACCGGCTTTTTATGATTCCATCATCCAAACTGTGTTGATAGCACAACCAAAAGAGTATTTTGCAAAGACACATTTAGCATCAATTATATATTACAAATAGTTTAATATGAAGAACTCTCTTGCATAATCAAATTAAAATAATCATCCCATATAACTTCTATATCAGACATATTAAGTCTGCCACATAAAAGAAAATATTGTGTTATAAATCATTATGAAAACAAACCTTAGTTGTATTTGCCAACTATAGTTGTATTTGCCAACATTCTCTTTTGTAGCCTAAAGAAATTAACTTTTTAAAATGAATCACAAAATAATGTATTTTTGATACAGATTTAATATCTAAAAGGTATTAGGAATAGATACTAATTAAAGAGTCCAATAAAATCCTCAACTATCATTGTTTAGTGATTTTTTTTTTTTTTTTAAAGATTTTATTTTTTTTTTTTTTTTATTATTTGACAGAGAGAATGAGAGAGAGAGAGCATATGAGAGGGGGGAGGGTCAGAGGGAGAAGCAGACTCCCCGCCAAGCAGGGAGCCCGATGCGGGACTCGATCCCGGGACTCCGGGATCATGACCTGAGCCGAAGGCAGTCACTCAACCGACTGAGCCACCCAGGCGCCCTGTTTAGTGATTTTTAAAATGCGACATTACATGTATGAACTGTACTTAACTCCTTAGTCTTACATTCAGTCAGTTCAGTCAGACTTTGAGCAGAATGTCTGTATTTATTTTTCATGTTTAGAAAATCTTAGAGAAGATGTTAGTTGAAGGATGCATTGTACAGTGTAGTTTCAGTGAATGATTCTACATACACATTTACAAAACAGCGTATTTTTCCCCCAAGTTTTTATTTAAATTCCTGCTAGTTAATATACAGTATAATATCAGGTGTAGAATTTAGTGATTCAACACTTACATACAACACCCGGTGCTCATCACAAAAATACGGAACGCTTCACAAATTTGTGTGTCATCCTTGCACAGGGGCCATGCTAATCTTCTCTGTATCATTCCAATTTTAGTATATGTGCTGCCGAAGCGAGCACAGAACACCTATATTTCAACCATGTTTAATGTTGCATTCAGTCTACTGTCTTACTAAATCAACTCATAGCAACTAACATAGCACTCAGTAAGGGAGGTGCTACCTGTTTTTTCTTGAATTAAACAATTTTAACCAATTTTATCAACCTGGACTCTGAAACATACAGATAACTTTCAGTTGGCTCATATTAATTACAGTCACACCTATTTGTTTTGTTTTTGAATAGTTTTACTAAGACATAATAGACATACCACATAAGTCACCCATCTGAAATGTAAAATTCAATGTTTTCTTTTTGGTAGGTTCACAGAGGTGTGGGACCATCACCATGATAAACTTTAGAACATTTCTGTACCCCAGAAGTAAACCCTGTACCCATTAACAGCTATTCCCCATTCTCCCATTTGCCCCAACCCTAGGCAACCACTGTTACTACTTTTTGTTTCTATGGACTTGCTTATTCTGGATATTTCGTATAAATGGAATTGTGCAATATTTGTGTGTGTGTGTGTGTGTGTGAGAGAGAGAGAGAGAGAGAGAGAGAGATTGACTTCTTCCTCCTGAAATAATGTTTTCAAGGTTCACCATGTTGTAGCATGTACCAGTACTTCCTTCCTTTTTAGTGCCAAACAATATTCCATTGTATGGATACAGCACATTTTAACCAATCATCAGTTATGACCATTTAGGTTTCCACTTTCTGGCTACTATGATACAAATAACGTTGCCTTTAATATTTGTGTGGATGTATATTTTCGTTTCTCCTGGATATATATTTAGGAGTGGAATTTCTGGATCATGTCTTAATTATGTTTACCATTCTGAGGAAGTACTAAACCATCTTCCAAAGCAGGTGCACCATTTCATATTCTCAACAGCAATGAGAATATGACTCATAACTTCTCCACATACTCATGAATACTTGTTATCTTTTTGATTACATCCATTCTAGTACACAAGAAGTGGTGCCTCATGGTTCAGATTTATATTTCCCTAATGACTACTGATGTTGAACATCTAATTGGTCATTTAAATACCTTCTTTGGAGAAATGTCTATTCATATGTTTGCCTGGTGTTTAATTGGGCTATCTACCTTTTTAATGTTGAGTTGTAAGAATTCTTGATATATTCTGGATGTAAGTCCATTAACAGATGTAAGATTTGCAAATATTTTCTGCCGTCAGTGAGCTTATCACTTCATTTATGCTACTACTGTTAGCAGTAAAAAGGTTTTAAATTTAAAAAAAAAGGATTTTATTTATTTATTTATTTATTTATTTATTTATTTATTTATTTATTTTTTGACACAGAGAGAGCGAGCACAAGCAGGGGGAGCAGCAGGCAGAGGGACAAGCAGGCTCCCCCCGATGCAGGACTTGATCCCAGGACCCCGGGATCATGACCTGAGCTGAAGGCAGATGCTTAACTAAGTCACCCAGGTACCCCCAAAAGTTTTTAATTTTAATGAATTTCAATTTATCTAATTTTTTGGTCATTTGTGCTTTTGGTATTATATCTAAAAAACTAGTGGCTAACCCAAGGTCATGAAGATTTACTCCTATGTTTTCTTCTAAATGTATAGTTTTAGAACTTCCTTTTAGGTATATGTTCCATTTCAAGTAAACTTTTGTGTATGGTATAAGAAGGGGTCCAACTTCCTTTGTCAAGAATCACTAGCCAAGGGAGCCTGGGTGGCTCATCTGGTTAAGCATCTGCCTTTGGCTCATGTCATGATCCCAGGGTCCTGGGATCAAGTCCCACATCAGCCTCCCTGCTCAGCAGGTAGTCAGCTTCTCCCTCTCTCTCTGCCTCTCCTCCCAGCTTGTGCTCTCTCTCACTCAATTCACTCCCTAATAAAGAAATAAAAAATCCTTGAAAAAAAAAAAATGAATCACTAGCCATAAATTTACTTCTGAACACCCAATTCTATTCCACTGATCTACATTTCCCATCTGTAAGCCAGTAACACAGTATGTTGATCACAGTAGTTTTGTAGTTAAGTTCTGAAATTGGGAAGTGTTAAGTCCTCTCTTCTTTTATAAGATTGTTTTGGCTATTCATGCATCTCTTGAATTTTCATAAAAATTTTAAGATCAGATTCTCAATTTCTGCAAAGAAGGTAGTAGAGGTCTTGACAGAGAATGCACTGAATCTGCAGGCCATTCTGGGAAGCAATGCCATTTTTATAACATTAAGTATTCCAATTCATGAACATGAGATACCTGTTTATTTAGATCTTTAATTTATTTCAACAGTTTTTTTAAATTTACAGTGTACAAGTCTTAAACATCTTAAAATTATTCCTAAGTATTTTATTCTTTTGGATGCTACTGTAAATGGAACTGTTTTCTTAATTTTCATGTTCAGATTGTTCATTGTTATTTGTCTAGAAATACCACCATTTTTTTTATTTTTTAAAAGATTTTATTTATTATTTATTCATGAGAGAGAAAGAGAGAGGCAGAGGGAGAAGCAGGCTCCCTGTGCTGAGCAAGAAGCCCGATGTGGGACTCGATCCCAGGACCCTAGGATTGTGACCTGAGCTGAGGGTAGACGCTTAACCGACTGAGCCACTCAGGTGCCCCCATTTTTTTTCAAAATGCTGTATTGTACAACCTT